GGAAAGATGAAAGGGGTCGTCAAGGACGAAAAAGGTGTAGTAGGTGATCCGCGAGTAAATGAGAGTCTGTGTTTTGCTCTGCAGAATAGAGCACCGTTTGCAGTCTATAGTAGAATCGGTTCGTGACGCGTCGCTCTATGTAGTTTTGTGTATTGTTGGTTCTGTTGTGTTGTGTTGTGCGAGAGAGAGTGTGTGTGTTATAACATTGCGTCCATGAGTCCCTCGGCACACCATGTGTTCTTGTCCCTCTGGCTTGGGGGGTGGGTGCGTGTGTGTGTGTTTTCTTTTTGATTCCACACAAAACACGCGCTCTGTTACGAGGAGTGCAGGCAGCAGTGAGTATGGATACAGACACAGACACCAATGCAAACATTGTGGGGTCAGTGGCAATGAAAGAGGCAGAAAACGGAGAGAGAGACTCGTGCACACACACACACACACACACACACACACACACACACACACACACACACACACACACACACACACGTACACAGACGTACACAGACGTGCAGAAGCTCACGCTCACACGAACAAGCACAAACACACACGCGCGCCTGCATGCATGTGCCTCACTAACCGAGACGTGTCGTGAAATTCGTCACTGGCTGGGCAACTCAATACGGTGCTCCGATGTTGGTCGCGAAATAGATGCAAGTCTCGCAGAAGTCAAAACGGTGCTGGACTCAATAATTTTACCAATCGCCAACAGCGGCAGCAGCTCATGCACTTGCCATGTTTGGCAATGACGCCATGTGAGTGTGGCAACGATCAGTTGGCAGGGTGCACCATCACATTTCACGGTGAACAGTACACGCAACACGCATTCCAACACCAACACACTGTTCTGCAATCAACGATGGGTGTACGTGGCTTCTGGTCTCTGTTTGCAGACAGCACGGTGAGTGTGCACCTCGCAGAATTCAGCGGAAGCAGGGTGGGGGTGGATGCAATGATATACCTGCACAAAGGGGTCGCGGTCGGACGCGGAATTACGGTCTGCACAGACCTTGTTGGGCGTTGTTCCAGGTTGAATATTGTGCCCGTCCTTGTCCTCGATGGTCAGGCACCGGTTATCAAGGCACCTGTACAAGCGAAGCGGCAAAGGGCAGCTTACCAACGAGGGATTGCCAGGCCGAGCCAGCACCAGTTAAAGGAATGGGCCGCCAAAAATGGAATCGGTGAGTCTGCTGGTGATACAAACTTGCCTTTGTTATGTTGGTGTTTTACAGCATTCGCACCGCACCAATCCTGTCGAAAACCTTCCCACACGTTTCACGACTCCGTCACTGACGCCACCACACCCCTACAAGCAAACGCACAGTACACCCCGCCCTAATGCAGTTCATGCACGCACCCATGTCTTGTGTACGTGCGGCGAAGAGGTGATACAGGCGCCCGGCGAAGCTGATGCCATGCTTGCCCACCTTCAACTTGAAGGCCAAATTGCAGCCATACTCACTGAGGATAGTGACCTGCTGGTGTACGGCGCAAGGTGAGAACTGGGCGCACGCATGCACATGTAAACAATAACACACACACTCACTCATACACATACACAAGCAAACGCCCACGCATACATTCATATCCACACGAACACACACACACACACACAAACACACACACACAAGCAAACACCCACGCATACATTCATATCCACACAAACACACACACACACACACAAGCAAACACCCACGCATACATTCATATCCACACGAACACACACACACGCAAACACACACACACACACACACACACACACACACACAAACACACACACACACAAGCAAACACCCACGCACACACATTCGACCACTCACCCGCGCACTCGCATACACACATACCCAGCAATGTGGTGTCACAAATAAAAGGCAATAGAGGAAGACGCCTCAGTTTCTGCAGCTTGCGCGAAGTTGGCGTGCCGCGGCACTCGTTGTCCCTGAAAAGTCTGACGCCTTCGATGCTGCAAATTGCAGCAATACTGGCAGGCTGTGACTACACCAAAGGCAGGGACAACGTTGGCTTATTGACAGCACTTCGCATCGTCATGGGCAAGCAATATACGGACGAAGAGGAGAAGACGGCCACACGCGCATTTCAAGAACCGTTGGCTCAAGCCAGAGCCCACGCCCACGCCCACGCCCACGCCCACGCCCACGCCCACGCCCACGCCCACGCCCACGCCCACGCCCACACCTCCGTGGACGAACCCGAGTTAGACAGTCATCGCGCGCACCTTCGTACGTTTTCCTCCATCGGTCTCGGCATACCACGCGCGAACGTAATCCAAATCTGCAGGTGCGTGAGTGTAAGCATAAGTGTGAGTGTGCATGTGTGAAAATATGTGTGCATGTGTAATATGTGTGTATGTGCAACAGTGTGCGTATGTGTGTATGTGCAACAGTGTGCGTGTCGATGTGATGTGCGAGAGTGTGAGAGAGAGACACGCACCAACTGCCACCTCACATGCACACGCGCGCATCTCTATATGACAGACCATTCAAAGCTTGTTCCACTCACCCTTGCCCGTTTGACGCACGCCTTGCAGATACGTGGGGGATATGCGCTGGGCGGTGACCGAAGCTATTCGGGATATGTACCTGAAGTGCGCGGAGGAGCACGACATACTTGGTGAGTTACAGGAGCTCGCACAAACAACGAGGAAACGCTACGTTCAAGCCAAGATCGACTTTCGCAAGACAGGCAAGTGGGACAAGGAAGTCAAAACGCCCACCGAGCCAGCTACGTTTTCAAGCAAGGTCGTTGAGCTGTCAGCCCACGGCATGGGCAGGGTGTGCACCCGCATGCGCCAGCATGCACGCAACAAGGAGGCTCGCCAACCTGACCCACAGGGAATCGAGCGTTTCTTCGGCGACCGAGTGCCAACACGGCCATCATTCATGTCTGCCACTGCGGTAAGCCATATTTGCACACTTGAAGTTGGCGATGTTCTAAACGTAAATGTACCTCGGTGTCTTGTGCGTATGTGTGTGTGTGTGCAAGTGGGTGAGAGTGAATGTGTGTGTGTGTGAATGAATGTGATGTGAACGGGCGTGAGTGTATGCGCTAAACGTGCATGTGTGTTTGTGCAACAGTGCGCATGTTGATGCAAGAGTGAGAGTGAGAGACATGCACCGACTGCTACCCCCGCTTCAGCTTACCAGCCACCACGCGCCACATGTTCTTTTGCTTGCAGGCTCACACTCTTCTCAATCTGCAGTTTCGCCTCATGGAGGGAAACTGCCGGCTGTACCTTCGAGTGGCGGCCCGAAAGGCAGCAGCGCGCAGTTCGCGAGCCGGTGGCGGATGTCTTGGTATTGATGATGCCCGGCTTGCTTGTGTGTCTCTGGCGGAACAGGCGCTGTTCGTCGCCGCTTTGACACACAAGCAAGGTGGTGACACTTCAGCAGTTTTCCCGCGCTTCGCTGCTCGGCACCCATTCATCACGATCGACAGTTGTGCATGTCATGCACTGAAGTGCCAAGCCAGCGTGCTGTCCAAGAACGTGCGCAGCATCCGCACAAACGGACACATCGCATACCTGATCCAGAAGAAGGCACCTGCGACCTCCACCGCGACCTCCAGTTCCCGGCAGCA